TTGTCCTGTCACTTGTTACATGGGAGAAGAGACCAGCTACAGCCTCATTTTAGGTGGTTGTCATGAGTGATAAGGTTCTCCCTGTGCCTCAGTTCCTCCAGGCTAAACAGCTCCCTCAGTTGCTCCTCATCAGATTTGTGCTCCAGACCCTTCTCCAGCTCTGTTGCCCTTCTCTGGACACGCTCCAGCCCCTCAATGTCCTTCATGTAATGAGGGGCACAGAATTGAACACGGGATTCGATGTGTCACCTCACCAGTGCCATGTACAGTAACGCTTTCCAATTCAGTTTCATTAATATTCAAAAAACAGTTAATATGCAAACATAATTCATCTGAGCGTGGAGAGCAAGATATTAGTGCAATTTATTTATGAAATGAATGGTATTATTACTGTTTCAGAAGACACAGAACTTAAAATTGAGAGATCTTGTTCTGGAGGAATGAACACAAATTGTGGAATTGTGATGTTTCCAATTAAAATTCTTGATTTGCTCTTGTGAAGTCTGTGCATCATGATAGATGTAAATACTGAGAACTTGCAGAATGATCCATATCAGTGCCAGACTCAGTAAGATCTTAATGATCATGAAATTTAGAGGAGTAGTCAGGCAAACAAATGTCTTTGTATTACTACATTGTATCACTACAGTGATTCTTGGACTGTATAGATCTGTCCTGCCACAGAGTGGACAGTCTGTGACACAGTAGGGCTTTGTCAGATTATGAAGCTTTTGTGCCTGTGTTGAATTACTTCTGGTATCACTGCAGGACTTTGGTAGGACCTAGCCTATGCCATGACATTGCAGGGGTTTTTTTTCTGTCTTGGAAATGTGTTTGACCCTTCCCAGGCTATTCAGGTCTCCTGCATGGAAATGACAGGTGTGACCTGAGGCTTCATTATTCTAGAGTGCCAACTAGTTGCTTGTGTTAAGGCAGCTGGTGGAGCCAGAAATCTCCACTGGCTGTAGTGGGAGCTTGGGCTCACATGTGGACAGTGAAATATAAGGTGTCTTCAGCTCAAAAGGATTCCCACTCTAGAAATAGGATTAATTTGCCTGAAGATAGCAGTAGTGCAAATTATCATTTGGTGTGTTCTGTAGTATCTCAGGTGTCTCTATGGAGCTAAGAGATGCGATTTAGGGTTTATTGGGAGAGTCACAGCTTTCTGAAACTGGCTGGAATTTGGGCTGGAAGTCTAGTTTGCTCTGAAGTCTCTAAAGCTGTATTAACGACCTAATTTTAAGCAAATCAATTCTCTTCCAGATTTCCATATAGGCTCTCTGCTTTGTCACTGGCTTCTTAGAGCTTTATTTCTATGCAGTTTTGATTGCTTCATTAATATACATCCACAGAGCCTGGGGACTTTAATGCACTGTTTTCTACGTTTAGCATTTTTTAAATGGAAATAATATAATTCCACTTCATGCACACTCTAGAGGGCAGACATTTAAGTGGGTTTCTTCTTGCCACCTTTCATCTGCTTATAGAATATGTCATGTCTAAACTGAGTAACAGGTTTTGTTTGTCATCAGTGGAGAGAGATGGACTCGTAAAGAGTGACTCACACTTTATAACTTAGACAACAATCTTCTCATTTTCTGTGGAGACAGACCAGGTGACTTCGAAAGCAAAGTTGAACGAGATGATCCCACATTGCTACACTTCATCTTTTTTCGTTGCAGTGAGAGAGTAAACAGCACCTCGTTATTCATGTAGAGGGGTAATCTCTAGAATTCTCTTTCTCCTTTCTTCATGGTAGATCCAAAGCTAATAAAATGCTGGAAGATCTCTCTCCACTGATAGGGAACAGAGAGGCCGAAGAGTTCTGGGTGCCACAGTCCTCAAGGTGTTCTGCAGGTGGGCAGCATACTTGCAAATGAAGATGAAAGAGATGAAATTATGTGTTTGAGAGTGTGCATGGTGGTATCTTAACATTTGAGATGGTAAACTAGAGATGAGTCATGCTTAACAGAGGAAAAAATATATGGCCCCTTTATGAGAGAAAATTTGGGTGTGCAAATTTGAGTTGCAAGTAGTGACAAATTTGTTTCCAATGGCATTTTAAAAATCATATTTTAAGTGTTGGGTGTTGGTCCTGATGTGTAATGTCTTTTGTTCTTTCCTGAGCATAACAGAGCTTCAGTGTGAAGTAAAATAAAGTCTGTACTTAGGTCAGATCTCATTTATGGTATGAAATGTTGAAGTTGTTACTATAGTTTCTCACGAGCATCAAAACCCATTGTATTAATTCAGACAGATGGTCAGGCTGCATCATGTTTATTGGAGCTATTGATGTATTATAAATGAGAGCATCTACAGTGATGTCTGCAACTGAGAGCCTGGTTCAGATACATGCATGTAGGTGTGGACTGTGATTCACAGTTTCTGAGATTGTTCTTTTTGGGTTTTGGTGACCGCTCTAAAAGGATATAGCCCCTGTAGGGCCTGTGTCAGATCTATGCTGATGTTTTATATACCCCACAATGACTCAAAAGCAGCAGGGGTTATTGGTCTTGCCTTTCATTGTCCTTTTATTCCAATGGTCTTTCTCCGAGCAGTGGTAATTAAAATTCTGCTAGAGCAGTAAAATGGTAGAATTTACTATTTTCCTGGGTAATTAACAATGTGGATGTCAAAAATTATATTCCTAGTAATGCTGGCAACTGGAAGTGATTGTATTTCAAAGCTTATGTGGTAAGAGTGTATGAAAATAAAACTCTAAACATCAGCTATCAATAAATTAATGATAAAATTTGCCAACATGTCAACTGTATGGAGTGAAATTATAATGCTTTCTATATGATTTATATTTCAGGGAGGGCTAAAAATGCATGTGACATTTTGATATTTGTTCATTTCATTGGCGACTCTGTATGGCAAGAGTGAAGGTTCATGTCATCACAGCACATATGAACAAATACTGAGTGATGAGTCTCAAAATGCAAATGTAAACTGTTAGTAGAGTTATTAGGTAGCTTTTTACTCTAATGAGTGGATCTCAGAATTACAGAATCACAGGATGGGTCAGGCAAGAAAGGATCACAGTGGTTTGTCTGGTCCAGCCTCCCCACTCAAACGGGGTCATGCTGGATCACATTGCACAGTATTGTATCCAGACAGTTCATGAATATCTCCAGTGAGAGGAACTCCTCAACCCCTCTGGGCAGCCTATTGCAGTGCTTGGTGATCTGCACAGTAAAAAAGTTCTTCCTTATATTCAGATTCTTCCAGTGAATCAGTTTCTGCCTTCTGCCTCTTGTCCTATAGCTCAGCACTGCTGAGCAGAGCCTGGATCCATCCTCTTGGCACAATCCTATGGATACTTACAGGCACTGATGATGTCCCATCTCAGTCATCTCTTCTTGAGGCTGAACAGGCCCAGCTCCCTCAGCCTTTCCTCATAAGAGAGATGCCTCAATCCCCCAGGCATCCTTGCTCTTCTCCACTGGACCCTCTCCAGGAGCTCCATGTCTCTCTTGTCCTGAGGAGCCCAGAACTGGACACAGCACTCCAGATGTGCCTCACAAGGGCTGAGTAAAGGGGCAGGATCACCTGCCCCCGACCTGCTGGCACTGCTCTTCCATCCTAATCCACCCCAGGACACCAATGGTCCAGGGCACCAAGGACACTGCTGGCTCAGGGACAGCTTGTCGTCCACCAGGACCCTCAGGCCTCTCTCTGAAGAGCTGCTTTCCAGCAGATGTCCCTCAGCCTGTCCTGGGACATTGGGTTATTTGGTGCAGGACCCTTCATTTGCCTTTGTGGAACTTCAGACAGTTTTTCTCTGCATATCTCTCCAGCCTCTTTAGGTCCTTCTGGAGGATTGCACAGAACTCCGTTATATTGGCCACTCTCCCACGTTTGTGTTGTCAAATCTCATATTTTTACCTTTTAATCAATGACCTAGGAAAAATCCATGACAATTTCCACTAATGTATAGATTACAAGAGCTGGGATATTGATTCACAGAACAGCCAAAAATCTTTGATAAGCTAGGTTCAAAGAAAAGATATGTTTTAGATCATGAAGGGCTCTGGAGATATGGTGTTTAGATGTGTATATGCTCACAGTGTAATTCTGTGGCCACATAAGCAGAAATGGTATGGTAAATTCTCTCTGGTTTTACTGCTGGCAAAACTGCCAGTGGCATATTATGTCCAATTCTGCTTCTGCAGTTAAAGACAGATGATGACAAATTGGAAGAGAATCAGAGGAGAGTGGTGAGAGTGGTTAAAGAGCTTGAAGGTAATGCCTGAAGATAATGCAAGGCTTCAGGAACTTAATCTATTTAGCTTTCAAAGGGAACATCAAGAGACTCTTATAACTGACTCTGTAAGATCTCAGGAAAGAAATTTGGTACAAAATATGTTCTTATAGTAGAAGATAAAATTATACCAAGACAAGTGCTTAAATTCTGATGCTAGGTGTAAATAGTAAATTTTAATAGATTAAATTGAGTTATTGGAATAATTTTTCAGAACCTGTGGCATTTTTTTTTGCCAGACCTTCTAAAGTCCAGATAGGTAGTTCTATATCCCTATATTGTGTGTTCTGATTCAAAGAGTATTAAGTTCAAAGGTGTTTCTTTGTTTTGTATTGTTTCAGAGTTTTGGGCCATTCTTAAGATTCTTCTTTATATATCTGTGAATCTGCAGATAAAGTGATATTCCTATAATGACAATCTTTTTTGAAGCCTGTTTGGTTAAATGCATTTTCATTTTTGTAAATACTGGCAGTATGTCTGAACTCAGTAATAGAGGTTAATAGAGCCAGAAGTGTCTTCAGTGCTGTAATAGTATCTTGTGGAAAATGGAGAAGCTCTTTTCCCCAACCAACTAGCAATTTCTGGTTGATACATGGTATTAATATGGTATTAAGAGGTAATTTAGGTATTGTAAACTATCGATGAATGAATAAGACTGAGCCCCAGTACTTAAGAATAATTGTGTTACTTAAAATGGATTTTTGTGTCCATTAATTACATCCTTTCTTTTCAACAGGCCCATGCTAAGGTCTGGCATCTCTACAATGACCATTTCCGTCCAGCTCAAAAAGGAAAAGTGTCCATTGCCCTTAGCTCCCACTGGATAAAACCCCAGCATATGACTGAAAAGAACATAAAAGAATGCCAAAAATCCCTTGATTTTGTGCTTGGCTGGTTTGCTAAGCCCATATTTATTGATGGTGACTATCCAGAGAGCATGAGGAGCAACCTCTCGTCTCTGTTGCCTGAATTCAGTGAAGCTGAGAAGAAGTATATCAAGGGAACAGCTGACTTTTTTGCTCTTTCTTTTGGAGCTACCCTGAGTTTCCAGCTTTTGGACTCCCACATGAAATTCCAGCAGTTGGAATCAATAAGCCTGAGGCAGCTCCTTTACTGGATAAACAGTGAATATAACAACCCCCAAATATTCATTGTGGAGAACAGCTGGTTTGTTTCTGGTACCACCAAGAAAGATGATGCCAAATATATTTACTATCTCAAGAAATTCATTATGGAAACGTTAAAAGGTAGGACTTACTTTGTATTAATACATGCTTGAAAAAATCATACTGCAGTATAGCCTATAGAGGTGTGTTGAGGTACCGGGCTGAAACCAGATTTTTGTGTTTAGCATTCATCTTGGCACTTGTGAAATGAGACTTCAAATCCCTTTCCTGGGTTTGTTTTTTTCCTTGAAGAACTCTTTTATCTGCAGATAGCATTTGGTGAGCTTGATGCTGCTGTCCTTGAAGTCAGTAGGAAAATTTCTACTGACTTTGGTAGGAGGAAGTGTGAGATGTAAACTATTCTCAGTGGCCTTAGGAGAATTTTCTGTGTTATATATTAATAGCTGCTTTCCTTATCTGAATGCATATGTGCAAAACATAAGAATATATATATGGGAAGGTAAATACTATGAAATAAGAATTCCCCTGAAAAAACCCATAAGGCTGAAATAGTACATTTTAAAATGAAATATTGGAACCTTTTCATTCTGCATCTTGCCCTTGCACAAATTTTACAATTGTACAGCTCTGGGCATCAATCAAAGTAATTTGAATTTGCATCAGTTAAAGGAGAACTGAATGGTTGAGGATATATAATAAAAATAATTTAATTTGTTAGCTTATTATTTTTTCCAAACAGTAAGAAAAATACACCACCTTAAATAAGACTTATTTGCTGTTTTCCCGTTTCCTTCTGGCAAAACATTTTTTCAATCCTAGTAGTCGCCAATAAGTTGTTGGGGTTCCCATTTCCACTTTCATTGTCTTTTAATTTCTAAATTTACAATTTATTAAGTGATTTACTTGTCTACAGTTTACTATTCTTGGTTTAAAGAGTATTGTTATATCTATTAGTTCAGATGAGATAGACATTGTGTTACATTGCCATTTTCATATGGTGAATGAGAAAAAATTGCCATCATTTTATTCTCATCAGTAATAAAGATGCAGAGGACTCGCAAATTGGTTTTATCTGCTATTCCAGAAACCTAATTATTGCAAATAAATTAAAAGGTGAACAAATACCTGAGCCTGTGGATCCAAAATAAAAGCTTGGAAACAAAACAGTAACTAACTGTTGTAAGTATGGTATCACTAGTTTTCATAAAGTCAGATGAAGAGCTCTTCTTCATGAAGAGATCATAGTCCAATTACCCCTATTTCTGCTTAGATTTTAAATTACTGGAAATATATACATGGATCTGTCTTTTAATCATAGCTGGCTGGAAGCAATCTCAATTTACAAACTGTCTTTTGTTTTATTGTATCACTCAATAAATAATAATAACGACGACAGTATGATAGGCATGCAATAACATACTGGCACTTGCCTAAATCTTTTGTAGTAAAAAAAAGAACAAAGAAAGCAGAGACAGGCTGGGTCTGCAGAAGAGACTTTGATATCATTAAAATGGAAAGTATTGCACCCAAATCTTCTGTTGTTAGAATCTTCAAAATCCAATGTAAATACCAAAGTTCTCTATGCAATACCTTGGGGAATTTAATGGAGAAAGATCCAAAAAATGCATCATGCTATCTGTGAGCAGAGTGGTTGGACAGCATTAAAAACCAAACACAAAGGCGTAAGCTTTCTCTCTGAGAGATGTAGATATGCTTATCCAGTGAAATGAAGCACTGTAATATGAAGATTTTGGAGGTATTTACCATGAAATTTACTCCAGTGGTGAAAGGACAGTAAAATGATACTGGAGCTGTAGCACTGAGAAGCAAGGATGATTAATTTAGACATGGGGCTGCATAACTGGGATTTTGCTACTTGCTAGATCTTGCCAGTATCTGTGCCTGGCTGCGTGTATGCACTGGTTCAGACAACTGCTTATTTCTGTATCTGCTTTAACAAGTAAGTGCAGTCCAGTTGGTGCAAGCTTGTAGAGAAAAAATGAATTGGTGTTGAGGGCCGGGTGTCCACACTGTATGTATTCCCATTTCTGGATTAATTTCACCCCAAAGGAGCCCAGGACGTGCATTCTGAGTCCACTGTGTGATGTGAACTGAAGCATGATGAGGGAGATTTGCTCAGAAATGTGCTCCTGATTTCACTTTAAGTGCTGATGTAGGTGTCCATTCTGATACTGCGTGCTGTAGACAAGCTCTGTACATTTTTTTAAAATTTATTTTTAAATTTTCTTTGGGAAAGGATA